TGCCTGCAGGGAGCAGGGGGATCAGGATTTGGGGTCTGTGGGTGCTCACTGCCTGCAGGGTGGCTGCTGGCCTGGGCACTTACAGGCAGTTATTTCAGTAATTTAATAAATAAAAATTAAAATTACATCATATAATGGTCACATGCCAAGGGCCTTTTTCATTCCTGGCTGCTGAGTTTGATGTGTCTTCACTAAAGCAAATTTCCACTTTTGAAAGCTGTTCAATCCATTTAACAAGTCTCTGATCCTTCATCTTGTGATGCCTGGAACAATTATTTTCCTGTTCACTGTCTGCCCTTCAACCTTCACATCTTTATCCATTTCCTTGGGTGAAAAGTGATGATTTCCCACTGTCCCCATGACCAATGAGATCTGGCTGGAATAGGGAAAAGTGTAGTGGGACAAGGGGATGCAGAAATGTTCAGCAGAGTTGAACATGGTCATCCATTCAAGGATATTTTATTGCACCTGTATTTTAAGGCACTTTTGCCTTCTGCTTTCTTATCTTGAAATCTCCTTTTGTTTGTGCCTCTGATGTCTTGCCCTTGATTCTGCCCTGTGTTTCCCTGACAGTCAGCTTCCTTTCTTGCTCATTTTGAGTTCTGGCTGTCACCTTCCCCCCTGGGAGCTAGGTCAGAGCAGCATTTCAATAATCAATAAGAGTGTGACCTGGTTAAAGAGGCAGAAATTGGGCTGGCAGGGACAGAGCCACAGAACTGCTGGAGATGAGTTTGTAGCCACCTCCTGCCGTGGCCCATGGCTTGTCCCAGTGAGTGCTGTGACAGCAGGACAGTGACTCAGGGTGCTCTGCCTCCTTGTTCCTGCGGTGAAAGCAAGAGAGATGAATTATACTGAATTATGTTACTCTCACACTGAGATTTATCTCTGTAAAGATTTGACAGAGTTTTTGGAAGAGCTCTCCCTGCTCAGGGAACATCCCTGGCTGGATCCTGTCAGTACCTCCTCCTCAGGAGCCTTTGAGGCCAGTTTGCAGACAGAGCTGGCAGAGAACATTTTATGTGCAACCCCTGAGCCCTGAGTGTAGCTGTGCCAGTTGCTGCTCCACTGGTGAAGCAGTGCCTCTTTTGTGCTGATTTGTAATTGCTTAGGAATTGTAAGCAGTGTTTTAAAAAGTCACTGCAAGTGTTTTAAATGTTACTGCCCATTCAGGGCTCGCTGTTGCCCTCCTGCCCTTCTCTAACTCCCAGTCTCACCTCCCAGCCAGGTCCCTCTGGAGTCCCTGTCCAGGTGCAGCCCCAGCTCAGGCTCTTTCTGCTTTGCCCATTTGTGCCCCCTGGTCCTGTGCAGCCACAGATAAACCCCTTTTTCTCCTTGATGTCATGGCCCAACTGGCCCCATCTCTTTTCCAGCATCCCCACTGGTACCACCTCGTTAGCAGCTGCTCTCCCCATTCCTTGTCCAGCCACAGCTCTCTGCCTTTCCATCAAAACCTGCCAGCAGCTCCTTTTTCTCCCCTGCTGCGTCAGAGCCCTGTCCCAGAGCTGCCTGGTGTCTGTTCCCTTCAACCACCTGCACTCCTGATTCCAGCAGGCATCTTCCTGCACCCAACCTTTCCTCTCTCAGGTTCAACTTCTCTTCCCTCACGCTTGAACCAGCTGGAATCCTTGCTCTCAGTTCTTTGTAATTGTGCTAGAATTGACTTTGAGTTTAAATAGTTTGGGGTTTATCCCTGGTGCTTGATTTCGTGATACAGCTTTTTAGTTTTTAATTCCTGGAGTGGACCCTGCATTTCTCTGATCCCTCAGCAGCCTTCCTCTGTGCCTATCCCAGGGCTGACCCAGACAACCAACCCCTGTAAGACCACAGCAGGGTTTGAGTGCCTCATGTTTGTACTTCCCTATGCTGGAACTGCCTGTGTGATCCAGCTAAACAAAGACATTTGCTGACACAATTATTTTCTTTTTAATTTCCCTTCCAACTCGTTAGGTCCCAGTTCTGCAGCCCAGGCTTTGCAGCAAACACAGACCCCAGGATCCCTCAGCCTCTCTCTGCAGTGACCATCTGTGCCCCTGGACAGAGGCAGAGTCAGGACTGAAGATGCCTCTCTTCTCCAGGAAGAAGAAACCCAGCGATGATGCTCGG